TAAAACAGTTTTCATAAGTAAATTTCTGGAAATATACTCATTTAGTGGACTAAAATCATAAATTTTAAGCTTAATGGGCTAAAATTGTAATTTTCGGCCAATAAGGCCCATTATGCAAATTTTTCTGTTTTGGAGGGCCAAAACTGTAACCTTCTGTAAAACAGTGGACTATAAGTGTTCCAACTCCTTTTCAAAGGTTAAAAATGTTTTTTTTTAAAATTTAAAAAGGACCAAAATTGCAAAAATTTTCCAAATTGGGCCAAAATTGTAAAAGTTGCGAAAAGAAGGGGTTAAAACCGTAAAAACTGCATTTCCAGGAACTTAAACTGTTTTTATGAAAAATATGTTGAAAAATATTAATTTCAATAATTTTTGGTATTAAAATGTCAAGAAAAATAGTTTGAGGACTAAACCGGGAAGTATTTTATATAAAGGGTTAAAAATGTAATTTTTACAAATGATGAGGGGCTGAAAACAGAAATATTTCAAGGCTAGTTCAATATACACAATTTGATCAAATAATGGCATCGTGACTATCAACGAAATACAAAACATTACAATACCAAAAGTCGTTGTTAAACGAATTGGCTCGGTCTCGAGCCAATAAAAATCTACAACTACTAACACTACAACTCATACAAGTAACGTTTGGTTATACATACACATACGAGTGTGCGCAGACGTCTATGCACCATCTTTGGGCCCCACAAGTGTAAAATCTTGTTCGTTGAGCCTAGCTAGCTCAATGACCTGATCTTAAGGCCCGAAGACATTTTTTTTACGGAGTGTTGGGTTTTACCGATCCGACACAACGTAAATGGACTTTCAATGGCTTGTTTACCACCGGTCCCCAAGGGTCCTTTGGTCTTGCTAGTAAGGTCTACATTTTATGCGAGGCGGGTCTGGGACCCCTCGTACATTTTATCCCCAACCGGCTAACGGAGTTACCGGGGTCTTCGTGACCTCTTACTCTTCGGATGTGGGACCACTCATAGTCAGGGCGATTGGATAACGTGATTAGTACCGACGACACCTTCGGAGTCGTTAGTATAACTACAAACTGGGTGTTTGTGTAACGCGGGTTTGTAGTAAATAATCAATGCTCGAGAACCTTCCAACGTCGCCCGGGACTGACACTATACGCTATGCAATGGCTTCAATGTAACATCACGTAATTCAAGGAACCAGGAGAACATCGGGTTTTCCTAGGGTTTTCAATACACACAAATTTGAAAAGCATACAACTTCAATGAACGTTTTCTTTACAAGTATAGAAACAAACAAAGCATACCTATGGATCTTCACAAATCTTTTAAAAACTTTTCTTTTCAGGAAATATCGGATTTTCTGGTGATTTTTCAAACAATACAAACATTCGATTTTAAACACTACTTATGAACTCACCAACATTTCATATGTTGACGTTTTTCAAAATACTTGTATTCTCAGGGAACCAGTGAATCAAAGGAAATCGCATTCAGTGAAGGTTGCAGTTTATTTATGTACGAATCAAACAATTTAATTTTTGGGAATGTACTGTTTAAACAATGTTTGATATGTAAACACTACTGGTTGTACTATGTTGATGAATGGTAACGAATGTTGTTATGTTTCATATATACTCAATGTTATGATATACAATTGAGTCACGGCAAGCCCTCGGACGTTTCGGCCGTCTGGTTCGGGGTGTGACACAAAAGGTGACTTTCGATGGAACGAACTTTAGCGAATGGATAAGATACATTCGCACGATTGCTCGCTACGAGGACAAGGAGTATGTCCTTGACGAAAAGCTCGAGCAAATCAATCCAGAAATCGCTACACCGGCTGAAATGACTATCTTTGAGACTCATGAGCGTGATACAACGAAATTTCATTGCATCATGATAGCCACAATGAACCCTAAATTCCAAAAGTCCTATGAGGACATGTATCCGTACGAAATGCATCAAAACTTATTGGAGAGATACCATCAAAACGCGAGGTAGGAGTGTTACGAGATCATCACTAACATGGTCTCTGCTAAAATGGGACATGGAGAATCTCTAACCGTACACTTGCAAAAAATGCAAAGGTATGTTGATCGTCTTCGCAAGTTGAATGTCGACTTTGGGGAAGATTTGCTATCGAC